CAGAAGGTAAGTTCAATCCTACCACTGACGTATTGCCATATTTGCCTTGGGAGAAAATTTCTTGCAAGGTTTCTGAAAAGTATGCACACATGCAGATTCACATATGCACACAAACATACACATATACAACAGAATTGGAACTTCTGATTTATAAGTTGAGTGATAAGGCTGTCTGCTAATAAATATTTTTGTGGCAGAATTTGTCCAAACTTTCTTTCCTTTTATTGTGGAATCAAAGTGGTAGGGGGATAGCTAATCTTCTCCTCCCCTTAACCATTGTGGTTACTTCATTTTCCCCAAAAAACTCAGAGAATTATGCATGATTACATTGTCTTAGGTTCATTCTCAACAGTTGTGTTATTCCAAAGACTAACATCGTATTCTAACTAGAACTCTGCATGTTGAGATCCCATGGGGGTGGCAATGCCACAAAAGTACGGTGGCTCACCGTTTGATGGCAGTTGCTTTCTGAGCTAAGTCTAGACTTGTTGTGGCAGGCAAAATGGAGGCATTTAAAAAAATAGAACAGTAAATTTGTACTTAGATAATTTTGTTGAAATGTGAAGGATAAGATAGAGAAGTAGAGCATGAAAGCAAGAGGGTGGTGTAGGAGGCTTGGACAAAGCGGTTGCAATTAATGGTAAGGAAAAGATCTGTTTTTGAGAGATGCAATTGACTGATATTGATGAGTAATTAGAAATGGCACATGAGGAGAAAGTGTGGGCCAATGAGGTAGAGGGTGATACAAGGAACCGAGGTGTACAATGGAGGATGACAAAGAATGAGTATGGGCGGGGAGTGTTGTGGAATTAGAAATGCTAAGGACTGACCAGGGGAGACAGTAAAATGTAAGGTTATGTAGAGGGGAACAAGGAGTGATGCAAACGAAGTGAGAGAGAAAAGCATCAGTATGTTCTATCTTGAGAAAATATCAGAATCCTTCTTTATCATAATTCTTCTGATAAAGAACTGATATACCCAGATAATGCCTTTTGTAATGACTCCAAAGGAATGGAGTGAATGTGTCCCTGAGGCCAGAAGCTCCATCTGCAAGTCTGATAAAATGGCTGTAAATCTTGGAATTTAGAGTCATTTAGACCGGAGCTTAAATTCTGTCTTTCTAATTGTGTGATTCTCTGATTACTGATAAAGTAGTCAACACATCACTTGTTATTCAATAAGTGGCCATTGAATCTATTATTATCATATTGCTATAGTAGGATATTACTAAACATTTTCCCCTGGTCATTTTCCACACTTTTTGCCTTACCTTACTTCCAAAAGTATTTTATGAATTACCCCCTCAGGGAAGGTAAATATGATAGCCATGAATAAAGAAGGCATTGCTCAGGTTTGACTCTAAATTACACTTTTTAAAAGCCAAGACAAGAATTTACAAAGCCTTGGGTTTTGTTGAATAGCCATGTCTTATTTGGAAGAGGAAAAAGCTTGCAGAGCTAGGAAACATGGGGATTTGATGATGTCAGAGAAGTTTTTCAGTATTGGAAGAATGGATAATTCTTTGACCATAAAAGCATGTATAGGAGGCTCTAAGGGGCTGTGCCTAAGGTTTAGAGCCTGCACGGGTTTCTGAGAAGGGGCTCTCAGGGCCCCAGAGAGGAGAAGAGGATAACAGAACTTACTATGGTTTGAGCAGAATCTGAGAAGGGCGAGGATTTGCGTCAAGTTTCCCAGGGAAAATCTTGGGAAACTGTACACTTCAGAGAGAAATCTTGCACTCAATGTGAAAACCGTATATTAAAGATGCAAAGGATAAAGAAGATGATTACTTTTTTTTGTTTTTTAATGGGAAGGTGGGTCTGTGTGTAGCAGAGCTTATGGGACTAGAAACACAGGTAAGACTGTCTGAAATTCCCAAGGGAGAAACATCTGGGCAAGTGTGTGAAACTTGTGACTGGAGGCCATGACAAGGATCTAAGCCTTCAGGAGTCAGTGCTTAACATGTCCAAAGACCAGGTGGTAGTATCTCAAGTGAGGAAGGGATGGCATATGCACCAGGTGACTTTCTCCTCTACCGGAAAGCTATATATGAGTTCCCTAGAAACAGGTTTAAACAAGAGTAAAAGAGAAGAAGGGAAATGGAATATTCCAATTTTCAACTGAGTGTTAACCCACAAGAAGCTGAATTCCAAACCAGAAGTGACTGAGTAATCTTGGAGAAGCAAGGTTATGAGTTTTTTCTCAGCAGAAATGGGAACTTGAGAGCCAAGTTGAATGGTTTTAGAGCACTAGAGAATTAAAGAAAGTTGCATTTATGCATATTTAACTTTTGTTAAGATATAGATTTTAAACTTGCTATATAATTATTAGTACTGCTGTATGGTTCTGCTAAAACAGTGTTTCTGCAAGTTCTAGAGGTTCGCTATGATGCAGCAGGAGATAGGCGTTAAGAGTGGGCCCCTGACCACCATTTCAGCAGGAACGGGTCTGCTTTAATATAGGGAGGCTGAACATGTGATTGCGGTTCTAGTAATAATTTCTTCCCATAAAACCATTTGAACAGTCACTGCCTTGACAGTCTTTGCTTCCCCCCCACCGCCCCCTTTTTAGGGGAATAACTTGTACATTAACATTTTCCAGATGACAATTAACTTTGTTATCTTGGTTTTCTTTGGGCCTAATGCATTTTCAGTGGCATTTCAAGAAAAGCCCTAATAGTTAGACCCTCGATTGTGCTTAAGATGGCCCCAGAGACAGAGTTCTAAGAATTGCTAAAGCATTTATTAACTAAATTGGCTTTCTGAGAGAACCTTCTCATCTGTTAGAATACTGTTTGTTAGTGTTTGTCTGTTTTGTTTCCTTACTTAAGATATTTTTTAAAAAACTGAGAACCCAGCAGCTTCAGAATAGCAATGAAATCTGGTAAGGCTACCCAAGTCAGTCACTTAAATGTTTACAACTAGCAGGACCCACTAAAAGAAACTTCGAATCATTGAAAGTTCAACTGCATATGATTAATTCGTTTTCATTATATTCCAGATTTTTCTACATTCAGAAAATGATAGATTACTACCCTAGAAACTGACAGTTTGGTAACATCATTCATATTATTCAGAACACAAAATAAACATATTCAAAATAGGGTTAATAGAAAAGGGGAGATTGTTTAGGTAATGTACTTTTTCAAATACCATGCACTGTGCTCATTGTGCAAACAACAGCAGATCTTTAGATTATACTGAACATACTAAATTAAAAAAATAAAAATAATAGAGAGTGTCCGATAAGATAAAGGCTTTGGGAATAGACTTATTTTCAAATCCCATCTTGGCCACTTACAGTATTTGTGTTATCTTCTTGAGTAAGTTATTTAACCTCTGAAAGTCTCAGTTGCCTCATCAGTACAATGGAGATTACAATATTGACCTCAGGATGTTTGCGAGGCTTAGCAAGAATGACTTTAAGAATGCCTAGCACTATGCTTGGTACTCATTCAACAGTAGTTCCGACAATGGCAAAGTCCTTATATTTCTTTAAAGTCCTTATATTTCTTTAAAGCAGCAGCAGCAATAAAAATAATAATAATAATTTGTATCAATAGGCAAGAAAGTTAGAAACAAATAGGCAAACCGGTAATTTAAAACTTAAGAAAAAAAACTGGTTTTGCTGCAGCTCAGCCTTCACCCTAATGGGAAGGAAAGAAGGGTAAACCAAGAGGAGTGTTAGGCATTCTGAATAAACCACTTCTCTTTACAAACCTGCAAGACTACAGTTTTGCTTGTGGATTGATTATTCCAGAGGACCCTTGAAATGTGGCAACATAGGCAATTGCCTCATTTTCCTTGGTACCATTTACTGCAAAACTGAAAATCACTGAAAAAAACCGTATATAAATATGATGAGACCGGGTGCGGTGGCTCATGCCTGTAATCTCAGCACTTTGGGAGGCCGAGACGGGTGGATCACCTGAGGTCAGGGGTTCAAGACCAGTTTGACCAACTTGGTGAAACCCTGTCTCTACTAAAACTACAAAAAATTAGCTGGGCGTGATGGCGGGCGCTTGTAATCCCAGCTACTCAGGAGGTTGAGGTAGGAGAATCGCCTGAACCCGGGAGGTGGAGGTTGCAGTGAGCTCAGATCGCACCATTGCACTCCAGCTTGGGCAACAAGAGTGAAACTCCACCTCAAAAAAAAAAAAAAAAAAAGATGAAGAAACCTTTGTCATCTGTACTGTTCATTGTCAGTTTGCATATGTTTCCCACATTGCTGGTTTATCTTATGTTTTTAAAAAATGACCAAAAAGGAAAATAAACTAAGTCTAATGTGCAGTTTAGGGAGCTGAATTTTAAGGACTCCATTTTCCTCTTAGATTGCACACGTATTCATTGGTGACCAGAAGCAAATACGAATTATGATTTCCACAAAACAATATTTATTTGTGTACTTACAGTAAAAATACGAGATGCATTATTATGAAATCAATGTGCTTGTGCATTTTTCTGTTGGTACACACTCGGAATAAAAATTAACCTATCTAAATATAGCTAAATAAACAAGATTGAAAAGACTGCTGGATGAATTTAAAACACTCAGTACAGTTTATTATAACGGATCTGTCGAAACAGGAACAAATTGAGATTCACTTCAAACTACTAGGCTAGAAAACACAATTAAAAGAGACACTCCTTACCTAAAAAAAAAAGTAAAACTGGCCTTTCAGTCCTGATTACAAGGTGAGAGAAAATGAACGCGCTGATGGCATTGCAATCAGTGTTTGTAATTTGTAAGTGCTGTTTGGAATACAATTCTAAAATGGGTAGGTGTTGCTTTACCACTTTCAGAGAAAAATACCTACAGTATTGGCTCTAAAGCATCACACATACATTTCCTTACAAAAGAGAAATTTACAAACTGAGCATTGAAAGAATATAAGAGCTGCTGCCATTGATTATGCAGGTGACTTTTTTCCCCTTAATAAAACAAAGACAAGAAAGAAACTAGAATATTCAGAAAGAACAATAAAAGAGGTAACATCCTACCTCCATCCAGCTCTTCAGCTCCAAAATGATTCCTGTAGAAGAGCATAATTTCTATCTTGTAACACTTGTAGATGGTCACCAAACACACAAGCAGCAAGAGAATAGCACCAAGCCCTCCAGCAAGTTCCACTGTGTACATTAGCTCTAGAAAGAAAAAAATCACAATGGGGAATTATATAGTATTCACATCCAAAATCACAAATTACATTCAATTTGATTTCACATTTTCCTGCACGAGATGAGATGTGGGTAATGGGTTAACACAACCCCTTTCCTTTTCGCATGAGAATTCGACCTTTCGATAACTTTCTAGCTCTGTTTCCTTGGTAACTAGATAAGGTGGTATGTGATAACTATGTTGCTAAGCAACATTGCTTGTGGTAAAAATCAACCTTGGTTGGTAGCTTGCATTTGGACTAAGATAATTGTAAACATCCGATTGCAAACTATAACAATGGGTTCACCAGAGTGCCATACCTCTCTTATATAAATGTATCCCTTGTGGAGATTCTGGAAGCTATGCTTATGGGGTTGATAAAATAAATACTGATTCCTGTAGATATGAAGCTTTTAAGCTAGCATGACTTTTGGCCTTTCCCAATGAGAATCTTGATCCCTCTCACTTGAGCTGTCACCTGTGGGTTGGGGGCCAAAGAAAGGTGACAGGTCAAACAACACAGTTCCAGGACAGCACTGTGGATTATTGCATAGAATGTTGGGAAGACTATCTAATGAATGCTGTCTGCTGACTCCTGCCAGGAGCAATGGCTCCTGTGTTGTATCTTCCTGAATAGAGTGATACGAAGGTGGTCTACTATAATCTTGGAGGCTGAATGCTTTTTGGGTGTAAGAAGTAGGCCTCCTAGTGGATGGGACAGTATATGAATATGTTGGTGGTGTTTCATTTTCATTCAACCATTTACTTGTTAAAATTTTGGCTTCCCCTTTTACCAGGCATGTTATTACGTTCTATCCAAAAAAGGAATTTTCTTGACACTCACTGTATACAAATCCTCCTTTTTCTATTGAATATCTACCTTAGATCAAAACTTATCAGGAAAACTTGGAGATAAAATATTTTGTTATTTTTTCCTTCTTTAGAACTATGGACATTGTAACAAAAATAAGGATACCGGTATTTAGATAGGAAGCCATCATGCACAGATTTTTGAAACTCACTTTAACTAAGTGTTGTCCTGATCATCATAGCCCAAATGTTGTCACTGATGGGTAGCCTTTGTTCCCTGCAGTTGACAACTACCTTGAAAAGCACTAGTTTCCTTAATTACAATTTAATACAAACATTTCTGAAATCAAAGCTGTAAAATAATGTTGTTCTTGATTCTGTAATTCAGAATCCACCAGTAAGTTATCTAATTTCATAACACAGTCAATGTAAGTAAGCTTAGACTGAGAATTTTAAAATAATCCATGGTTTTGCCGGTAACAAGTACCCTCAGGTTATAAGATCAGTCCTGAGTTCTCACAAATGGGGTGAAATCATGATGGGACTGGTGTAGTTTGAGTGACAAACAATCTGAAAATTATGGCCATCATTTTCTCACAAGAACATTGTGTATGTGTGTATTTGCATGTGATGTCACTTTTCCTGTAATAATTACAGAAAAAAAAATCCTCCGGCTGGGCACACATGTAATCCCAGCACTTTGGGAGGCCAAGGCAGGCAGATCACCTGAAGTCAGGAGTTTGAGACCAGCCTGGCCAACATGGCGGGTGCCTGTAATCCCAGCTACTTGGGAGGCTGAGACAGGAGAATCACTTGAACTCAGGGGGTGGAGGTTGCAGTGAGCTGAGATCGCACCACTGCACTCCAGCCTGGGCAACAGAGCGAGACTCTGTCTCAAAAAACAAAAATCAAAACAAAACAAAATCCTCATTCATATTTCCTATTACCTAGCCCTCGACTTCTCATTCTACAGTTTAATAAATAACACATTAACTACTGTTTAATCAAGTGTGTTTTTCTGTAATTATTAAAATTAAATGGGAAATTGAAGAAAATATTATTTAAAATGATTGAACCATATGCATTTAAGAAATAAAAAATAAAGTGAGATCAAATCTTTTAGAATCTAAGTAAATTAATATGAAGTGTGAAACACTACAAAATACCACCAGCAGCTTATCTGATTAACATTGTGAGGAACCACACAAGACAGCACTACAAAAATACCAGGAACAAAATACAAAAAGTTCTTCAGTATAATGTTTTCCCTCTACTATATGAACTGAAAGGGTGAGCGGCTAATCCTGTGGGGATACATTGGGTCTTGTTCACTCAAGATAACAAACTCCACCATACAGAGAAGCCTGTGTAAAATTCTAACTTATGCCCACAGGGTGATTTATAAATCGGGAAGACGTGATTTAAAATACACTGGATATAATGTGAGAAATAAGCATTTCGACTATGGCTTCTTTTAAGATTTTCTAATTTAGTATATTAAACACTAGGAATTTACCACTCAAAAATTTCTTGTATAAAAAAAGAAACAGAAAAATAATCAAGAACACTTAGCTTCCACTCCCAAACATTGCTAGTAACAGTACCCAATGATACTACCACATTGTAAACTTTGGGGTAATTTCTAATAAAATTAAATATAAATCTACCATATCAATAGCAATTCCACTCCTAGGTATTTGTCCAAGAGAAATATAAGCGGATATCTGCAAGAAGAGTTGGATGAGAATGCTCAGAATAGTCTTATTTATTCACAGCAGCCACAAATGGAGACAACTGAAATGTCCATTAACGGGAAATGATGAACAAATGATTGTATGTTCATATGATAGGATATACTCAGTGATAAAAGTAATAAACTACTGATGCATGAAACATGCATGACTCTTACAAAATTATTAGAAAAAGGAAGTCAGACACAAAATAATACCTACTGTATGATTCTATTTAAATTATGCTGAAGAACAGACCAACATAATCCATAGTGACATAAATCAGGAAATGGATTCATTGGTGATGAGTGAAGGGAAACTTATTGGAATGGAGCAAGAGGAAACTGTCTGGGGTAAAGGAAATAGGTTTTGGTGTGGATACAGAAGTGTTTATATTTGTCGGAACTCATTTAGCCAAACACTTAGAGCTCCATGTTTTATATTATGTTAATCATATTTCAATTCTTTAACATTTTGATTTCTTTTAAGAAAAACTTAGGTTCTAACCAAAGGCCTATGTGGGGAGAAGTGTGGGAAGAAAGCTGGGAGTCAGGAAAGCTGCTCTGCTCTAGATAAGCGCCCAGGCAGAGAATGATTCTTTTATGGTGTCCCCAAGCACATTCTTTGCATCTGGAGGCACTGCACAGGGGCTGGGCATGTGGCATGTCTTAAGTGCCCATATATACTCAAGGAGCTTTGGAAATGACAAAAAACCTTTGCCTGAAACATAATCTGATCAATCCAATCAACAGAACTCTCATGTTCTCCAGATGGTATTTATAATACTGGTCTCTATATACTTTTAAAATTTTGAGCAATTGAATACATGCAAATTAGAGAAAAATTGTATGAAAATAAATCCTTCTTATTTTTAGCAAAGCAATTACCCAAATAGGAGTTACTCCCATTGCTAGATGTCACGAGCCATTTGAAAAATGATATACATTTCTTAGAATACTCTACATAGCCAATCAATAGTGTTGTTTAAAATATAATAAGAGAAAGAGAGCAGGGTTGATGTAGCTTTAGCAATCACAGAAACAGTCTTGTGTCACATGAAAAACTCCTTTAGAGTACAAACATATGAAAAGTTATATATGCTTAGAGAATCAGCAATAAGCAAGAATAATTCTTCTGGGCCATAGATAGTCGTTTACTAATAATAGAAATACCAAAAACGAGTCTAAAGAAACAGAATTTACAAGGAGCTAATTTTTCCTGAGATCCTGAGAGCGTCGCAGACTTTCCCCCAGGGACTTCTGTAGTATTACATTGCAGAAGCATAGTGTTCTCATAATGTCCTTATAAAGAGGTCAGGAACAAGATGGAAATGTGTATTTCCCCATGGTGTACAGTGCCTGCTCCTCAGTTACTACATTATTTCTATGCAGGAGTGTAATACACATGCCTACACATTATACATGTGTGCAAGTTAAATTTTTTTCCATTTAAGTAAGTCACACTGGTTTATATAGCATATGTAAACTCTCTCAAACAAAATGGTGCATTAGATTTAGCCTTTGTATTCTTTTGCTCCAAGCCAGACAGATTCATTAATACATGTGCTACCATATTATTGCTTATCCTTTGGGTTATACAAAATTACTAAGGATTAAATTCTGTCACAGTGAAGAGAAATCATTTGGGCCCACTGCTGTATTTTATCTTTACAATGTAAATGGTGTTGGCCCAGCAAATGTCATTTTCCCTTTGAAATGGGATCTGCCTTTCAGCTCTAGCTCAAGTTGCCTGGAGTGGCAGCATTTAAAAAATAAAAAGATTCCATTTCAGCACAATTCAACATCTGAGGACCGAAGGAGAAAGTGCAGACCTTTTAAAATCTGTTTAGCCTTTGTGTTATTTTGTTAAAATGATAGACTCTGCCCCCTTTAAGGGACTGAGACTGAATATTGAAAATTGTAAAAGCAAAATTGCTAGGCAAAACCTAAGGAAACCTGGCATTTGGTTAAAAACAACAAATGAACAAGTGCCAAAGAGTTGCATTTAAGGAAGGGCCCCAGCAATCATTTAGTTACAGGCAATTAACAATAGTCCTTGGAAAGCTCCAGTACAGGCTAAGGGAAAACACATTGATTATTGCTGCAGTAGTAGACTGCTTTGGAATAAATTGTTTCAATTTACAACTAGATTTGCTACAAGCATTTTGAGCAATGACTACAATTTTTTCTTATCAAGACAGTGGGAGCAAGCAACCCCTTAAAAGAAACAGCTAATTAAAATAAAGTGTGTGCCATCTCTTAGTATATTGAATTACATTGCAAATAATAAATGCATTTGGTTTCCACTGATCTTGCTGCAATTACCTAGTATACTCTGGGAAACTATGTTCTTTTCTTGGCCTGTACCTGGTGTTATTGTTTGCAAACATTTTCTGCTGGAAATCTTTGAAAAGGTAAAGATTTTCACAAAGTAAGTAAAAGTTCATA